AGCAGTACTAGATTGGCAACTAAGTCTCATCGTTTTACTGTTGAAATAGCCTGAACTTCTGTTTTAATAGTTTCTTTTCTCGCACATCTCGTTTGTGGAACTCTCTCTCTCTCTCTCTCTCTCTCTCTCTCTCTCTCTACTTCTTGCTTCCCTACTACCGACATTCTTCAAATGTTTAAATGCAATATCAATCTTCTGTATTCATGAATCCTGTTCTTTTATTATCTTTTTTCCTCGCTGATGTTTTCTCATCTTCTTACACTCTCAGTATCCCCTTGCGGCTTAGTGGCATTATTGCCTTGCTTGGGGAGAAATGATTTAAAAAATCAGTGGGGAGGAGTGACTTTAAAACCGGGGCATGCTGTCGACGGTTACCATTAATTGTTACGAAAGAAATCAGAAAATAATACAATAAAAATATTATAACACCTGATAGACTCCTTTCTGCCGTCCATAGATATGGCTGATGCTAACCTCCCCGAGAGTGACTCATTGCACCTTCTCGGGCTAACATTCTCGGCTGACATGAAGTGAAAAGAATATATTTAATTCACTGTTAGATCAGCTGCTAAGAAAGTTCACTGTGTCGTGATAGACATTTTTTTCTCTCTCCAGAATCTATTTTACATATCTATAAATCTACCATTCGTCCATGATTAGAATATTTTTGCCACATATGGTCAGGCGCCCCTGTAATTTATTTAGAGCTCCCTGATAAAATCCATAGAAGAATTAGCAATATTATTGGTCCTGATCTGGCGTCTCAGCTTCAGATTATTTTCCACAGACGTAAAGTGGCCTCCCTGTGCTTTTTTTTATAAATACTTTCATGATAATTGTTTGGATGAGCTCTTCTCTATGACATAGTTTTGTTTTTATATTCATAAATACTCATTGGGGCTAGTTTTTTTTTAAATTGTTGTTTTATTCCCCTCCCTCACAGACACAAGATGACCAGTTAGGAATTTCATGGAAACAATGAAATATTATGGTGGATGTAGTAAGAAAGGTAGGTAAGAATGTGTTGTTTTGGTGTTAGAAATATTGTGTTATGTTTGGGTCAGTGTTTGTGGCTAGCTAAGTTTAAAGTTTAGACAGAAGAAGACTGTCCTTTTCCCCATTCTCCATTTCGCCTTATGTCACATTTTGATATAATTACAAATAAATATCGCTCTTCGATATGCTACCAAGACTTTGAATTTAAACGCAATACTACACTGGCGACGAGGTTTCATCAATTTACAGTTAAGCTGGTTAGATGTAACCATAAGTTCTATGCTAACAGTTTCTTTTCTCCCACTTCACGCTTGTGGAACACTCTTTCGACTCCATACTTTACAATCAACTTTAATCTTCAATTCTATTGTCCTCCTGCTTGCTCTTATTTTGTTCTCGCTCCTTAGTATTGTTTATGTTTTCTAATTTTTTATTTTAAAATAGCCACTGTATTTTTTGTATTTTGTTGTATGCAAAACCCATTTTTCATCACATGTAACAATTCGATCAAAAATGACAATCGATTCTGACCAGGCATCTCGACTCCTGTCACTTTCTTACCGACGGGATTTGCTTTCCCTCTATCTGTTCCACAAATATTTTCATGGGAACTACTCAGATGAGCTTTTTTTTTCTGATGTCCAGACTACATGAATTTAAGCGCGCTACTAGATTGTCACCAGGTTTTGCTGTTGAACTAGCTATATGCAAACGCCAATTCTACTCTGTGATTTTTTCTCGCGCTTCCCACCTGTGGAACTCCCTTCCGACTTATCGTTTCCCTGATAACTGTAATCTTCAAAAATTTAAATGCAACGTCAATTGTCATCTTCTGACTTCTTGAACCTTGTTCCCTTTTTGACCTTTCCCCAATCCTTCCCCATTTTCAATCTTCTCATTCTCTTTCACCTTCACTCTCTGTAAATCCATGCGTCCTGGTGGCATTGTAGCCTTGCTTAGAGTGAAACAATTTAAAAAACGCTGTGTTTGGTTTTCAAGCCAAAGATCATGAGAACCTAAATTCTCTCTTTTCAAGTTTTCTTAAACTCTGAAATGCACATTTGCGTATAGAAGGAACGATAATATAATTCTAGACAGTTTTTACGATTCAAATTTTATTTTCCTTCAGTTGGTTGACTCGTAATTCATAGCGGTAAAATACGTAATTACTTTTCAGCATATGAATATGTCAACATTAAAACACCATCATAATTATAGTAATAATATTCATGTTTGAAATTCTGGGATATGTTATTATTATTATTTTAAAATGTTGGAGGACTATTATACTCATTTTTTCTTGGCGGTAATTCGGCTAAAAAGCTATTGTTTTAAATAACATTCACTTGATACCCCATTATGTAATATGTATCGCTAGTTATCATGACAAGGATGTCTCATCATTAGCATTCCATACTAAGAAATTAGTGGATGATTGTACTGTTGAACAAATGACTTTCTACTTAGAATCATCTCATCTGCCTAAACAGTAACAGCAAATCTGTTCCCGCTGTTTTCAACTTTGACAAAATCCGGTCAAAACGTTTACGTACATTTATCTAGGAAGATGTGAGGAATTATGTCAACAGTCATATTCCATAACTTTTTTCATTTCCCGAGCCATATTCTGGTATTTTTCAACCTTTTCAGTTTCTTTAGAATCCGCTCTTTTATTTTATAGAACAACAAAACCACTTAAAACTTGTTACTTTTCTTATCTATCACAATAAGGTCGGATCTTCGTGCTTCCTGTGACATGATCTGTCTTGACCTAGAAATCCTATAATATATTTTTATTTTATTTTATTTATTTTTTTTTCATATTTGCCTCCGTTCAAAAAGAATTATAACTAGAAATGATATCCGGCTTTGCGTAGGCGAAATCAGTTTCCCTTGTTCCAATAGGCAGTTGTTTTTTTGTTTTTTTTTTAAATTTGCATATGCCGTCATATAGTATTCAAGAAATTATCACAAAGCAATTCGATAAGTGCATGTTATAATATTATGACAGTTAAATTTGCAAAATATATTTTTAAAAAAGTATCATCATTGCTTACTTCCGTTTACTCCCAAGCTGGGATCTAAATGTTAAGTTAGTTACCAATTGCAGCGCAAACAATGGCTTTATTTGAATAATTAGGTATTTTAATTATGAAAGTCAAGAACAAATAAGTGCTCATTTATAAAAAAAAAAAAAAAAAAAGAAACAGATCAGACTGGAAATGAATAAAAAGACAAAATTATTTTTTTACATTTGATTTTTAAAGCTGAATATTAGTTATTTATATTAAGTAAGAACCCCTAAGTTTGGCAAGATGCATTACACTTGAAGAAATCGCATTTATTTGATGATACATATCTACATACGCATGCACACAAAGAACCAACTCATAATTTTCAAGGTTTTGAGTGTGCATTCACGCAAAAAAGACTTTGAGCGTTATATATAAGATGATTTGATTACTTTTTATGGTTATTTTCATTACCATAATACAGCAAAACGGCAAATTGTAGCGAGAATTTTGTCAGCGCAATACCGTTAAAATGATCTAAATTTAGAAATAAATCTGTTTGCAGTTTAATAATAATAGTATTAACATTCATAATAAAGACCCACTTTTTGTATAAGTTTGTATTTGGTATAATATTTGAAAATAAAAATTTTAATCAACATTTAAAGATGAAAATAAATGAAGACGTTACTAATTGCTAGATAAAACTGATGAGAATGGTGAAATTAGACGTTTCCTTATAAGCAAACATTCGCCATTCATCGGCCGAACAGTTAGCGTTACTGTGTGCTGAAATTTATAAAATCTTTCTCTTAAAACAGTTTTTAAAGAAAATAGACTTCTCAAGTCCATTAACTGTTATACCTCTTTCTCGTATTCATGGCGGCTTCTTCTAACTCTTTTGTTTTTAGTTTTGTGAAAATTAGTCATTTTCATTATATCAGTATTTTCTATTCTAGTTACATGTACGATCCATTTTTCTGCTGCTGTTGTTTGAAGTGTCTTCAAGTAATCTTTCCTCATTGTTTAACTCTCTCTTTCTAATTATAAGCGTTCTTTTCTCGTCTATTTTCTTTAAAACTTTCTCGTTGATCACATGTTCTGTCCATGGTGTTCTCAGCATGATTTTATATAATCTTTGTTGCCTAAAATCTCCTCTTCATCTGTGAGGAAATTGTTCAGCATTAACTGTCATATGGGGGAGGGGTGATATTAAATTGCAGTTCAGCTCCCTTCTGTTTGTTTCTAATGAAATTTTCCTGTTTCTTAATACTTTGCTTAGCTTTTGAAAGGCATCTTGATATTTCAATTCGCGTTTCGAATTTCGGTGTTACATTTTCCATCCTCTGGTAAAATATTTCAATTTTTGTACTGATTGATTTTGATGTATCGTAACTAGCATCTCTGGTTGTTCCTCTTGCTAACAAACACATCTACTTGCAGTTGATTGTTATAAAAGTAAAATTCTGAAATTGGCTAATATCTTCCGAAATTAACTAAAATCTTCCGAAATGAGTAATTAGCATTTAGCAGTTTCGATGGCATTTAGTAGGGTTTTTTTTTAAACAGTCGATATTCAGGTGACAATTGCAGAAGAAATTAATGTAGTCTTCATTTTTATTTATCGCTTAAATGTTATTACGTTAAGTGTTAAATAAAGATTCGAGAAATTTCATATCTGCTCAGTTTCATATCTAAATGTAAACCAAGCAATTTCTAAAGAAGTAATGGATTTTTTATTCATTCATCCAACAGATTTTTATCACTTAAATTTACATATAAAAACTAATTATAATATATTTTATTGATTTATTGATTTTTAAATAGTTTATCATCCGTTTGTATGGTATTTAAAGGCAGAAAATATTTTTAGATTGTAAGAATGTTTTGGCGTTATTAATGATTTACTGATACTGATACTGGAATTGGACCTCTGCTCTCTGATTTCCAATTAGGAGCATTTATCCATTACACCACTCGCACATCCTAACTTACATCAACTGGGATTCCCAAACGGTCATCCATCTAGTTACTGACCAGTCTCTATGTTGCTTAACTTCGGTGATCGTACAAGAATTGGTGTTTCAACGCGATATAGCCAAAAGTCTCTAATTATAATATAAATTGTATATATAAGAAATAACTTGATATGAGCTTAACTGACATCTTCAAAATAAGAAATACCGGGTGCGGCAGAAATAACTCCCAAATAATGATAAGGCATTAGCTAGATGAAGACGCCATTGCCACTAAGTGGGAGGTATTTCTGCCACACTCTGCATAAAAGAAAATGACAAGTCATTTAATTTCTTTCTCACGCGTCTCTACACTTATCTTGATTATCTGGGATTTTCTTTTCTTTTCTTTTTTTTATTCCTTTTCTTTTTTCTTTTCTTTTCTTTTTTTTATTCCTTTTCTTTTCTTTTTTTTATTCCTTTTCTTTTTTCTTTTTCTCCCTCCTCATCTTTTTAACCTTTGTCTACTGACTCATAATTTTATTTAATTTTTTTCTAATTATTTATTTTATATATTTCTTCAAAGGTATATATTTTTAGCGTGTTTGGAAAAGGTGACAAATGAACAGTTTTGTCTATAGAGTGGCATTAAGGTTTTTTATGATCATTTTTGTCTTTTTATTTATTTATGATAGGTTTTTAAGGTCATTTTTGTTTCAATTTTTTGCCATATTTTTTCTACTTTTTAATTTTTTTTATTTTTTACTTGTAGCGTCAGGAATTTTCAAACGGTCACATGACTTGATTAGACATCGAATTACAAAAGCAGTTTTAGTAATATAATAGTAATAAAAAAAAAAGAAAATTATTCGTTTTCGTAGCATCCTTATTTCTATGCAAACAGAAGTTTGCCTTCATAAACATTATTGTTCTTTCTTCAATTGCGCCACTTTCTCTCTAATTCTCTTCTGTTCTGCCTCGCTCCTTTTTGCTCACATTGCACCCACCAACCCTGGTTTCTTTCCTGTTCTTTAAATCCTCTTTTCTTTCTTTGTTGTTTCAGCCACCCCGGGAGCTCACTCGCTTGCAGCCATAGGAAGACTCAAGCTCCAGTCAAACAACAACAGCCAATAACTGATTTTGGGCGCGAATTTCCAAGAACGTCAGGTAATATACTCGCATTCACATATAACCTCTTTCCCCTTCATATTCTTTGCAGACTGTCCGCTGCTGGGTGCCTTGCCAGAGATAACTGGCTGTATCTGTAGGTGATTGCAGCCTGACTAACGCAGCTGTCCCGACAGGCTGATTAGAACGGTGTCGTCGGAGGATACAGTATGGCCGCGGGAAGGTAAGGGTCGCCATTTTGACAAGAATCGGTCCTAAGGGGATGAATGGAAACAACTAACGAAGCAGGGACAGGGATAGAAAGAGTGAATGTTGAATGAATGGAATATAAACATTGAATAACACAGCGGCACACACAAGTAATTAAGCAAATGTGAACTATAATAACGAAGCCGTGTATCAAGTGACGGGCCCAGTTATGGAATAAATAAATGGAGAGGTAGCTGTGATTTAGTTTGATTCAATCAATGACTGCATTTTATTAGTTCGTTTGAGCGACAAGAATGTCTTGTCATATTGATATTATTTATGCTGCATGTCTAGCATTGATGATATATTTATCTTGTCTCTAAGTCTAAGCAAGAGGAAGAAATACCTTTACGAAAAGTATTAACTGTAAATTTTCTTGAGCTCTTCCCACTGCCCGCCATTTTGTTTATATGTGTTCGTTAATATGGGGCGTATATAAAGATATTTAAGGAAACCCTGTGTGACTTTCCGTTGCTGTTATAATACTATAAACTCTCAGAGTCGATTTCATGTTTTAATGAAAGCGGAGACATTTGTTAAATTCCGTACAATTTTATCGACTCGTTTTCAAGTGCACTTAAACCAATTTGACGGTGGTCATTAATAGATTATAGATAGAAAACTATTATTGATACCGGATATTCCTTTTTTTTATAGACCTATAATTGATACCAGGACTTTATTTATAAACCTATAATTCTAATTTGATGCCGGATTTTTTATAAACTTATAGTTCTAATTTGATACCGATTTTTATAGACCTATAATTGATGTCGATTTTATTAATAAACGTATAATTGATACCGGATTTTTTATAAACTTATAGTTCTAATTTGATACCGATTTTTATAGACCTATAATTGATGTTGATTTTATTAATAAACGTATAATTGATACCGGATTTTTTATAAACTTATAGTTCTAATTTGATACCGATTTTTATAGACCTATAATTGATGTCGATTTTATTAATAAACGTATAATTGATACCGGATTTTTTATAAACTTATAGTTCTAATTTGATACCGATTTTTATAGACCTATAATTGATGTCGATTTTATTAATAAACGTATAACTGATACCGGGTTTTTTTATAACACTATAATAAATACTGGATTTTTTTTTAATTTCGGCAGTTAATACCAGATTTTACGGCGTACATTAATGAGTTCAATGGCGTCTTAACACATAGTTATTTTTATGGATGTTTTTTATTTAAAAAAAAATGTCCATCTGGATATCTAGATATATCTTGCAGTTGGTTGTCCAAGCGGACTGAAACTTGGAAATGACCATCAGCAACGAACCTGTCAAGAAACATCTTAATAATCATACTGAAAAACTACGAATATCACAGAGGAAATAATCTGGTTATTGAACAAGGAAGCCTCTATGGATGCTGAATTAATCCTTTCTCATTAAAAAAAAACCTTTAAAATGGCAGCGCCTGATTATCGAGGAATTATTCTTATTTTATTTAGGAACACATTATTTACTGATTATTAAGAATAAGTTATTATTTAATAATCTTTCAGGTCTTATCTTAACGATAAAGCAAGAGATTTAAATATTGGTTTTAATTTTTAAAACTTCGGTTTAACTATTTTATTTTTATATATAAAAATGTTACCATGCATATTTTTTTATTTATCAAAATCTACAATTTAAAAAATAAAATAAAACTAAAATATTGCCAAAAAAAGAGGCAATATTTTTCTTTATTTTTGTTTTGCTTTTCTTATTTAAGTTGTAATATTGATTCCTGGTATTGTATTTTATTGGTTTGTTTTTGCTTTTCTTTTTATCCCTTCAAAAAAAAATCGATATTAATTCTCACAGCAACTGTCTTTTATAATATGTAAAACTTATTCTCGAACAAGCAGAACTTGATTGGGTTTTCATCGAAGAAATGATTTACATTACAAAATCTTCGATGAAAACTCAATCAAGTTCTGCTTGATCGGGAATAAGTTTTACATATTATAAAAGACAGTTGCTGTGAGAATTAATATCAATTATTGATTTACATTACAAAATATTTCTGCTATTTTTGTCTTTGCTTCAAGAAAAATCTTCAACAAATAAATTTGGTCTTTCATGCAATGATGACAAAACTGTTAATCATATTTTATTAATTAGTTGTATTTCTGTAAATTTATTCTTAAATGTTTTCTTAAATGAGCATCAAACGTTCAAATTCTATTTTTTTCATAACTGATTTATTAACAATTGAAAACACGTGGCTTTTCTTGTTTTGTTTTTCTATAAATATTTTCATGGCAATTGTTCTAACGAGTTCTCCTAATTGGTACCTCAACCGCATCAATTGAAGCGTACTACTAGATTGGCAGTTAGGTCTCATCGTTTTACTGTTGAATTAGCCAGATTCAACCTTAAGTTTTATTCTGATAGTTCGTTTTCTCACTGGTGGAAATCTCTTTCGATTTCTTGCTTCTCTGTCACATTACAATCTTCAAAATTTTAAATACAACGTCAGTTGCCAACTCCTGTCTTCCTGAACCAAGTTCTTTTATTGTCCTTTCTCCTTACTAAAGTATTTTCGTTCTCTTCCACTCTCAGTAGCCTCTTGCGTCTTCGTGGCATTATCGCCTTGCTTGGAGTTAAGTGATTATTAGAAAAACAAGACATACTTCAAATACAAAAATCTCCAAGGACACATGACAGAGTGGATAAAGATGTTAGTTAGATCCAGGGAGAGGACCCAAAGAGTGTGAGTTCAATACATGGTTAAGGCGGTGGAGAACTTAGTGAGGAGAATTAACAGGTGATAACTGATAACTGACATCCATTAGACATGGCACGTGGAACTAGAACAGTCTACCCCAGTGAGCGAAATAAAGGGTTCAGTTCGATATTCCAACCACCTGAAGAAGGCCGGAGCGTACAACGGCCGAAACGTTGTGACAAATATGGCGACAAAGATGAGGACAATAGTCCGAATAATGTAAATAGTGTACATAATACCTCATCTCAGCAATACAGACAGATACAAAAATCTCCGATTCAATGGATTTCAAGGTTTCCAGGTTTTCAATCTGGCCAAAATTTGCGGGAATGTCTGAAATACGTTGATGTTTCGCCTATAAACTAAAACTTTCGCTTCTGATTCGTATTCCTATCGTTACTCTATTACTATTCTCATGGTAAATGTTCAGAAAAGCGCTATTCTTTAGTTCTGCCAGTTCAGATATTTACAACTAGGACACGCCATAATAATTCCATGGATTCGAATCATCCTTATTTCCCACTTATTCCAAATATAATGAGAAATGTTCACACGATGTTTTTTTCCAAGATCTACTACTTTGTAGGACAGACCACCACGTAATGATATTTTCGAAGCCAATTTGTTGCAAAGTTTTATGTATGTCAAATATTCATTTTACTCTAAATCCATACTTTATTAAGTACTAGCTTAAAACCCGCACACCGTGCGGACTTTTAAGCGAGCTTCTGAGGAGGGCTAATTGGGCGTCTGACCCAAAGCTAAATGGACCCCAGGTCCAGCTTAAAAAATAGCAATGCTAATTTTGAAGAAATAATTTTGAATTCCTCAATACACTACCTGGAACTTCAAAACCTCACTTTAACTCTTATGCGGGCTATAAGTCCAGTTCCGGACAAAAGACCGATTTGGGCCGAAATTCCAATTCGGGCCGAAAACTGAGTTCTTCAAATCACAAACTCTGTGGAACGTCAAAACCTCACGTTACGAAACCGCTCACTTTAACTCTGACTTCTTGGAAT